ATATATATATATATATATATATATATATATATATATATCCCCAAAGCAAAATGAAACACAAAGTCTACAAAAATCCCACTGACATGGTGGTGTAGCACCCAACTACTCCTGGGCATGGGGCCTGCGTTTCAGTGTAATAACCCAAGGAGACTGCTGAGGAAACGGATCTCCCTTTGCCAGCAGCTATCAATTGCAGAGAGTGTCTGGACCAGGGCTGGGGCCGGCTTGAACCTGTGCAGGACTGTGCACACAGCCACAGTCTCCGCAAGTCCGTGTGCAACAGCCCGTTGGACCTGGTGGACGTGGTTCCCTAGGGTCACCCGTCCCGTGTGGCTGAAACAGGCGTTTACCTCTTCCACAGAGATTGCTGGCCCTGAGCCTTTGAGGAGGCCGTCCATCGCATTCAGGACTGAGTGCTTGAGGGTTTCTCCCCTCTGCACGCTGTCAGCTGTGGGTCTCTTAGTCCCCATATTCTGTGGGAAGAAGCAGCTTCTGTGCCCTGGGCTGGGCTGGGCACGGCCCTGACCTGTGGGCGCAGCAGTGTAATTAGGAGTCTTTTGTTGCTCTGTCCTTCAGTAGAATGGTGGGTTCCCCCATACCCATGGCTTATTTTAGTCAGATTCGAGGCCATTTTGCAGTGTCAGGAATGGGTTCAGCTCGTGAAGTGAACCTTAATCCGTCAAAAGCTGGTCACTTCCATAACCTTTGCCGCTATTGCTCCAGAATGGCCTGCAGTCAGGCACTGCTGCAGAGAGCAGTGGGGGCTGGGAGAAATCGAAGACTACCTCTCTCCTCTGACGGCATGTGCGGTGTCTTCCAGTACTGTGAACACAGTCAGTGTGGGGGATGCTTCCTCTCTGTGTCCTGTGACACAGGTGAGCATCGTCTTCAGCAGTGGGGACTCACCATCAGGTTGTGGAGAGTAACCAATAGCCTTTGGTTTTTTAAATTTTGTTATTATTTATTTATTTATTTATTGAGGCAGGATTTCTATGTGTAGTCCTGGCTGTCCTGGAACTCACCATGTAGCCCAGGCTGGCCTCAAACAGAGATCTGCCTGCCTCTGCCTCCCAAGCGCTGGGATCAAAGGCGTGCAGCACCACCACCAAGCTAGCCTTTGCTTTTCCTGGGGTTCCATGAGACCCCTTTGGCCAGCCACTCAACAAGCTGTAGCCCCTCCCTGGCACTGGAGGTTTTACTTGGTGGCATAGGATGTCTGTTTGGGGCAGTGTCTTCCCTAGTATCTGATGAGTCCATTTAGATTCCTTTCACATAGGTATTTATTTTAGGAAGTGTCTACAGTAGGCTTCCATAGAGCTTTTTAAACGGCATTTAGAGTTAATTGTCCCTCTCACGTTTCCATCTTTCCCCCAACCATTTATTCCCCTATTCTAGTTTCCCTTTGTCTCTCCATAACAATATATTCTATTTTCCTCCAAAAAGCAAAACATTGGTTACAGCTCAAAGGTTTAGTCACGAAGTTGCTGAGATCCTGACACATTGCCTCCAACAACGAAGCCACCCCTAATGCACCACACCCTAATGATGGGGGGGGTCTTTATTCAAATTATCCCAGTACCTAACCTCTGTTATTCAGATTGTAGTGCAAATATCAAACACTCAAACTCTGGCTGGAGAGACAGCTCAGAGGGTAAGAGCACTGGCTGCTCTTCCAGATGTCCTGAGTTCATATTCCCAGCAGCCACGAGGTGGCTCACAGCCATCTATAGTGAGATCTGGTGCCCTCTTCTGGCGAGCAGGCACACATGCAGACAGAACATTGTATACATAATTAATAAGTGAATCTTAAAAAAAAAAGCTTAAACGCCAACAGCCACAAATCTCTTTTCTTTTTGGCTTTACAAGACAGGGTTTCTCTATGTAACAGAGCCCCGGCTGTCCCAGACCCACTTCCTAGACCAGGCTGGCCTCAAACTCACAGGCTGCCTCTGCCTCCCAAGTGCTGAGATTAAAGGTGTGTACCGCCATGGTGGGCTCTTTTTTTTCTTAATAGCTGAATAATACTCCACTGTGTAAATGTACCATGTTTTCACTATCCACCAGTTGGCAGACATCGAGGCTGTTTTCAGTTCTGTTATGAATGAACACGGGTGAGCAAGTCTCTCTGTAGCAGATGTAGCATTCTTTGGGTATGTCCAAGAGTGGCATCAGTAGATGGTGAAGTCCCTCCGTTTCCAGCTTCCTGAGGGTCTCACACTAACTCCCAAGTGGCTGTACAGTGTACAGTCCACCAGCAATGAAGAAATGTCTTTCTTTTCCCCGACCCTCAACAGCACGGGTACCACTTGTTTTATTAATCTTTCTTGTAAAGTCATTTGTTATGAGTTCTCTATCTGCATGACACCTGCATGCCAGAAGAGGGCATCAGATCACATGACAGATGGTTGTGAAGCCACCTTGTGGTTTCTGAGAATTGGAGGAGCAGCCAGTGCTCTTAACTACTGAGCCATCTCTCCAGCCTGTTTTATTAATCTTGTTGGCCATTTTTTTTTCAGCCATTTGTTTTAAATACTGTTGCCTTTCCAGAGTGGTGGAAGCTAGTGCCCTTCTCCCAGCCCGAGCCGTTATACAATCTTAGAGTCAGAACCACTGTTGCCTTACACATCATAGAGCCTCCTGCCCACTCTGTCCCCTTCAGCAAACATGTGATTCCCAACATGAACCATGCTGAGTAACTCCTATGCTTCCCCATTGTCAAGAATTTTCCTTTCTAAGCAATATGACTAAGCCTTGCCGCCCATGCTCATGTATGCCAGGTTGGCCACGAACTCAAGATTTTTCTGCCTCAGCCTCCCAAGTATTAGGCATGAGCCACCATTCCCACCTTTATATTTGTGTGTGTGTGTGTGTGTGTGTGTGTGCGTGCGTGCGTGTGCGTGCGTGTGCAGAGCAGAGGAACAAATAGATTTTTGCCCCAAGATATCATCAGGCAGTTAGCAGCCAGAGTCCAGTCCCCATGGCCCACATGGTGGAAGGCGAAAACAGACCTTGTCTTCATCCTCCACATGTGAGCCATGGCTGAGCAAACATGGACACACTGGCTCTCTGCTCCTTCCTGTCCTGGATCTTCTCATGCAGTTTCACCTTGATCCTGAGACACAGCAGTAAAGGTCAGAGTGAAGGGATCTGTCTGCTTTGGGCACCTGTTCACCCGGGTTGCCCTCCGCTTTGATAAAGCAGGTAGCACTGACGTCAGCTCCAAAGTCTGTATGTTCCAGTATGATCCCATCACGGCGAGTCCCTCAGCAAAGTCAAGGCTGAGCACGAGAAACCCAGGAATCGATCATCTCTCTCCATCTTGCAGGACCTAGCTCCTGCTAACATCAAGTATGCTGTGCTATGTACTGCAGGCTTCGCTCCCACGGCTGACAGCTTGCTATGCACCCCATCCTCTGGACTGCTCTCCCACCCCAGCCACGGAAAACTACGACGACCCTTGTCTGTTCCCAGTGGTATTCTGGAATGTGCTTTCTCACTGACTTGACCACATAGATGTCCCTCCAACGCATCAGACAGAGATCTGGATCAAGAGCGCACAGGTTGGGGGGCGGCGGCACCTGCTTTTAGTCCCAGGATTTGGGAAGCAGAGGCGGGCGGATCTCTGAGTTTCAGGTCAGCCACAGCCACAGGGAAACTCAGAGGAAAAGCTGCTTAGTGAACAGCTTTTTATAATTTTGGTCTCACCTTGTAGCCAAGACCGGCTTGGATCTCACTGTGTACCCCACGCTGGCTTCGAACTCATATTGCTTCTGTTGCTACCATTTCTCAAGTGTGGAGATTAAGGCACAGGCCACTGTTCTGGGCTTGGAGTGACCAGGATGTTTTTAGTACTAAATGTGTATGAGTGTTTTGCCTGCATGTGTCTGTGCATGGTGTCTCAGAGCACCCTGACTGGCCATGTTTGGCTTTTTAAAATTGAAAAGATTATTTTCTCATATAACACATCCTATTGTTTCTGCCCCTTCTTTTCCTCCCAGCTCACTCCCTCTGGATCCACTCCATTTCTGCCTCTCATTAGAAAAGAACAGGGTTCTAAAAAATTAACAACCAAACATGGCAAAAAAAAAAAAGTATAAATGAAGCAATAATTTTCATAATGAAGTTGGACATGAAACCCAACAGGAAGAGTCCCAAGAGCAGGCAAAAGGCTTTGCTCGAGTCCCTGTGGTACGTAGGCCTCAAACTTGTGGGGATCCTTCTGCCTCAGCCCCCTGAATGCACGTATCTATCCACGTGGCAAGCTAACTTGGCTTTTTTTTTTTTTCCTTTACAACTTTTCTTCCCCGAGACAGGGTTTCACAGTGTAGCCCCAGCTGTCTTGAACTAGCTCTGTAGACCAGGCTGTCCTGGAACTCAGAGATCCTCCTGCCTCTGCCTCCTGAATGGTAGTAGGATTAAAGGTGTGCCACCACCACAGGTTGGCTTCTCAATGTTGCCAAACTGTACCAACAATTTTTTTAACTTTCAATATGGTATTCAAAAACATGAAAATTTAAGATTTTATTATAAAATAAGCTTTTTGTTGTACAAAATTTTTTTTGAATTGAAGATAGGCTGGGCTAAGCCACGTTTCATAGATAAACTATATTAATTACATGATTGGCTTATCGTATTTTTAAAACAGCATTCAACATTTGGCCAATTAAAAGGAATCTGACTAGACGGTTTTTAAAACTTCCATGTGTGTAGGGGTTTTACTTGCATATATGCTTATCATAGCCATGCCTCGTGCCTGCAGAGGCTAGAAGATGCCAGATTCCCCAGCACTGGGGTTATGCAGATGGTGTGGGAACCACAGGGTGCTGGGAACTGAGCCCAGGTCCTCGGGAAGAGCACCCTGCGCCCTTTCCTGCCGAGCCATCTCTCCAGCACTGCCTTCTTTTGTTTTTAGCTTTCTGTGTTGCCTCCGTGTGCAGCACGTCTATGCTGGCTTTTGCCTGTGGATCACAGAGGGGGCTCAGAGCCCCCCCACTGGAGCTGGGGATAGTTGTGAACCGCCATCCCCTTTCCCCTTTCCCCAACACATGCAAACAAACAGAACTGAGCAAACGGACAGACATCAAGAAGCGGGCTGAAGGGCGGAGGGAGACAGCACCCTCCGAGAGTGGGCCCGGACCCAGGGGTGAGCGGTGACCTGGGCCAGGGGCAGCCGTTCTGAGGGGTTATGCTTCAGCAGCTTGCGGATGAGGTCCTGGGCCCCCTCAGGCACAGAGGGCGGGAACTTCAGGTCCACCTGCAGGTGAAAAAGGAGACCGCTTTCACCTGTGAACTACATTTCCCTTGACTAGCAGCAGGAGGCTTTGCTGGCGAACATGGCTGCTCCGAGTGTGCATACAGAGGTTGCTGGGGCTCAGGCAAACACTAGCCAGTCTCAGTGGGCTATAAAAAGAAAGAGGACACGAAAGAGGCCAGGGCATGTGTTGGAGGTCCGGGGGATAGGGGGAGCAGTTAGGGGCGGAGCGGAAGGGTGGTTAGGGCTGATATGATCAAGGTTCATTGCACACATTTAGAAGTTGTCAGAGAATAACTGCAAAGTGGGAGACTTCTTCAGAGGCCTGTAAACCCACGGTGCACCCGACCCCGCCTTCCCCACACAGCCAGGCGGCTAGCCCACCTTGACAATCCGCCGGTACGTCTCGCTGTGGCTAGGGCTCTCGAAGGGCGGGTTCCCGACCATCAGCTCATAGCAGAGCACCCCGATGCACCACAGATCCACCATCTCATTGTGCATGCGCCCCTCGATCATCTCAGGGGGCAGGTAGTCCAGGGTGCCACACATGGTCTTCCTCCTGGGGGGTGAGGCAAGCGGGTGGAGCCCAGGGGTCAGAGCAGCCTCTCTTTTCCCTGTACTTGACGGTAGGCAGCCCAGAGGCCCCAGGAGACACTGGGGGAGGGGCATCCTTCCCAATCAGACTGAGCGTCTGAAAATGACCCAAAGAGCCAGATGTGGGTACACATGGTTCCACCCTGGCCACACTAATGGATTATCTTAGTCTTAGTAAAAAAAAAAGAACGAACAGTCACAGAGGAGGGTAGTGCTCAAAGGAAAAACAGAAGGCACCTTTAATACCCACTAAGCACATGCTACTTAAATAAATCAGATTATGTTTTTACTGAGAAATGCCACGAAGCAGTAACAATGATGGTGTCACCAGATGCCCTGGGTTCTGATGTACACCTCTAATCTCAGCACCTGCTGGGGACCTTTTGCTTTTCGTTTTACTGTGAGATAGGTCTCTCTATACAGCCTTGGCTGACCTGGAACTTGCTAGGTAGACCAGATGGCCCTGACCTCACAGAGCTTGGCCTACCACTGCCTCCCCAGGGTTGGAGCTAAAAGCGTACCACTACACCTGGCTTAATCCCAGCACTTGGGCAGCTGAGGTAACATTGCCAGTTTGAGGCCAGCTTGGGCTACAAGGTAAAATCTTGTCTAAAAACTGGGGAGAGGGTTTGAGCGATGCAACTCAGTCACAGAGCATTTGCCCTAGCAAACACTGTCAAACCAAACCAAAGAAACTGTGACTTGGGTGCCCAGGCACGTGTGTAATACATGCCACCCACTTGCGCCTAGGCCTTTAAGGACAGCCTGGGCAACACAGTGAGACCATATCTCCTTAACAACAAGAGTTGTGAGGGTAAACATGGCATGGCGATACATGCCTGTAATCCTAGTATGTCTGCAGATAGAGGCAAGGGGGAGCCGAAGTTTAAGGTTATCTTTGGCTAGACAGTGAGTTTGAAGTTATCCTGTGCTACCTAAGATCCTGTCCCAGTCAATCAATCAATCAAGCAATAGTGTGGAAGCTTCCTCAGCAATGCTGTGAGAGGGCCCACTGACAAAGAAAAAGAGTAGAAAATCCAGGGCAGAAGCTACTGAGTCACCTATTTCCGGAAGGGTGCCGCTACGCTTATACTGCATGGTGACAAACCCCACGCTCTGAAGGAACAAGATGCAGAAGAGTTTCATACAGACTGTCACAGCCTCACACCAGGGACAGGCCCCAGGGACCATACCTCAGGGAGGGGGCGTGCACGGACCAGCCGAAGTCCGCGATCTTCAGCTCCCCCTGGAGGCCCAGCAGCAGGTTCTCAGGCTTTATGTCTCTGTGGATCACTTTCTTCTTGTGGCAGTACATCAGGGCGTCTGCCAGCTCCTCCATGATCTGTGTGGGCCCACACAGCACCAGTCAGCCACCGGCTTCCGGCAGCAGCCCCGGCCTCACAGCCCACCGGCCCCGACAGGCCTCACACCCCACCCGGCCCTGACCGTGGCGGTCCGCTGCTCATCGAAAGTCCGATTCTTCTGGAGTTCCTTGTAGAGTTCCCCCCGAGGGGCATATTCCAGTATCAAGTAGATCCTCCGCCGGTCATGGAAGTAGTTATAGAGCCGAAGAATGTTGGGGTGTCTGGGGCAGGGGGAAAGGAAGCTTCAGTTTACATCTAGATGGCAGACACCTAGTTCAGGAAGCACAAAGGAGGCGCTGGGGCAGGTGGCCCAGGTGTTAAGATGGGGCAAATAGCCCTGGGGGTGGGTGGCCCAGGTGTTAAGATGGGGCAGGTAGCCCTGGGGTGGGTGGCCCAGGTGGGTTAGGGAAGGCGGAGGGGTCGAGGTGACAGCATACTGTAGGTGGGCCTGGATTTCAATCTCTCGGCGCAGCTGATGCTCCACTCCCTCCTTCTCGATCTGAGACTTGAAGAGGATCTTGAGCGCCACAATGAAGTGGCTTCTCTTCTCTCGAGCCAAGTACACATTTCCAAATTTGCCTTTGCCCAGAGGACGCCCGATCTCAAAGTCGTCAATAGTGAGGGACCGCCTGATCAGAAGAGCCGGGTTACAGCCAGCTCAGTGCCTGCTGGCTTACAGTCTCTGAGGTGTTTGATCTCTCTCCCTCCCCCATCTCTGCCTGGTCACGGCTTCAGTCCCCATCTGGTACTTACATGGCAGTGGAGCCGTGACTCGAGTTCTCAGGCGGCTTCTGGCCAGGGGTGGCTATGGAGAGAGCAGGTATGCTGAGCCCCCTTCGACATCCTCACCGTGCTCCCTCTCTGAGGTTCTGGTCCCTCTGGGCCAGTCCTCTCCCCACCGCCCCAGGTACCTGTGGCCTGGCCATTGGAGCGGTTGGTGAGGGCAAGCGTGGCACTCCCAGCAGGCTCCTTCCGTAGGACTCTCTGGGGCAGGGTCTTCAGGCCCGACTGAGACTGAGGAGCAGAGCGGGGTTCTGAGGGTGTCCTTGTCCCTGTGGCTGGAATGTGCTGGAAGCAGCATTGCAGCTACTTGGGTTTTATGTTTGGTTGGTTGGTTTGTGGGGACAGGGTTTCTCTGTGTATCACGCCCTGGCTATCCTGGACTCCTTACCGTGCATTCAGCTACTTGTTAAGGAACTCATCCACTCACTGAGCTGTGGTGGGCACACCTTTAACCCCAGCACTCAGGACGCAGAGGCAGGTGGATCTCTGAATTCGAGGCCAACCTGGTCTACAGAGTGAGTTCCAGGACAGTCAAGTCAGGGCCACACAGAGAAACAAAACAAACAAACAAACAAACAAACAAAGCCACCCTGAGAGCTTGGCACAGTCCGTAACCCTAGCACTTAGGACTTCGAGACAGTCCTCAACTGTCAGTCCATGGCCAGCCTGTTCTAACATCACCCTCCCCACAAAAAAAACAATAAACTAAAATAAAAATCGAAGTAAATTAATAATAATAATAATAATAAGAGGCAGAAGTTGCAACACCAGTGTTTAACCCCTCGAGGGGTAGACCTGAGGGACACCCCGACGGCCTGGAGCACTTCCTCACTTTCAGACTTCTCTGAGTGATTTCTTCGGGCAGTGAGCGGGGTCGCTCAGCGCTCTTCATTTGCGGGGAAGGCGAGCTGGGGTTGCAGGTGTGCACAGTCGTGCTAACCGACAAACCTCCCCCAGTGATACCAGTATAGACTGATTCGCACACTCGTACGCGTACACACACAGCGTGTCAAATCTATTTCGATCCTCGGTTCCCTCCACTCGCTAGGCTAAACTCGTGGGCCGCAGCGTCGCTCCACAGTGGTGCATCAAAACTGGAAGCTCTGCGTTTTAGACTCGGTATCAAGAGTAAACATGAGACCACGCAGGACCCTTGAAACGGCAACTTCCTCCTCCCTACTCTGTCTTCTGGGTAGTTGAAACTTTTTTTCAGACCCGACGGTAGGATTCAGGACCCGAAGGCCCCGCTATGATCTGTGCGTGACGAGCAGGCTCCGCTGTGCGGAAGAAGGCCACCCGGGGTCAGGGTAGCGGCCTCTGCCCCGCTCGGGCGGCAAGACACCGCCTGGGGCCCGCACGTCGGACGCGCCGGGAGGCAGCGTCCGTCGGGGCTCGCCCTCCGGGGGGTGCGCACCGCGGCGGGACCTTACCGTGTACGCGCGGTAGGGCCACGGGTAGGCGTTCTCCTTCTGAGCCATCGTCGGAGCCCGGGCGGGAGCAGAGCTGCGCGGCCCGGCGGCCGGAAGGAAGCGGGCGAGCCCGCAGCCGAGATCGGGCGCCCTCCGCGCCCCTGCCCGCTCGCCCGTGGACGGCCCGGCCGGCACGTGGGTCCCCCGCGCCCTCCGGAGCCCCCGGCTCTCCGCCGCGCTGGGCGCTCGCACCCCGGGAGAAGCCGCCCCGCCGCCCCGCCGCCCCGCGACCCCGACACTTTCAAATCTCCCTCTCGGAGCCCATTGGCGGAGCCGCCACCGGGCCCTCTCTCATTGGCTACGGCTCCTGTGACGTAACGCGCTGCGCCCTGGCGGTGCGGGCGCGCGCCGTGCGTCCCCGCGCTCTGGAGGCGGAGGCGGCGGGTCCAGCCTGGTCCAAGCGGGCGTTCCTGCGCCGCAGTCGTCCTCTGTTGTCCCTAGAACGCTCGCGCCGTTACACCCCAGTCAGGAGACGCTCGGGTCCCGTGTCAAACAGGCGCGACACTGCGCGTGACACGGGGTTTGCACGGGGTTTCAATTCTGTCGGGCTCGTTGATGGAGACAAGGTCTTTGTTCAGCCCAGGCTGGCCTCTCACTCAGTGAAGAATCCCCCAGGCTGGCCCCTCACTCAGTGTGAAGAGCCCAGGCTGGCCCCTCACTCAGTG